TGAACTCTTCAGGGAATTCAATTCTGGCCTCTAGGCACCTCATATGAAAATTTGAGGACATTTGGTGAATTTGTCTTTTTGCGTCAAAAAACTGACTTTTTTGATGATGCCGGCTATGGAAAACGTTGAAGTTTTGGGGGAATTTGGAAAAAATCTAAAAAAAAGATTTCTTTATGGATACTGAATGTAATGAGTTGAACTCTTCCGGGAATTCAATTCTGGCCTCTAGGCACCTCATATGAAATTTTGAGGACATTTGGTGAAGTTGTCTTTTTGCGTCAAAAAACTGACTTTTTTGATGATGCCGGCTATGGAAAACGTTGAAGTTTTGGGTGCATTTCGTAAAAATTCTAAAATGTTTCTTTTCTCACTGGATACTGAATGTAATGAGTTGAACTCTTCAGCGAATTCAATTCTGGCCTCTAGGCACCTCGTATGAACTTTTGAGCAAATTTGGTGAAGTTGTATTTTTGGGTCAAAAACTGACTTTTTTGATGATGCCGGCTATGGAAAACGTTGAAGTTTTGGGGGAATTTGGAAAAATCTAAAATTTCTCTTTTCTCACTGGATACTGAATGTAATGAGTTGAAATCTTCAGGGAATACAATTCTGGCCTCTAGGCACCTCGTATGAACTTTTGAGCAAATTTGGTGAAGTTGTATTTTTGGGTCAAAAACTGACTTTTTCGATGATGCCGGCTATGGAAAACGTTGAAGTTTTGGGTGTATTTCGTAAAAGTTCGAAAATGTTTCTTTTCTCACTGGATACTGAATGTAATGAGTTGAGCTCTTCAGGGAATTCAATTCTGGCCTTGAGATACCTCGTGTGAACTTTTGAGCAAATTTGATCAACTTGTATTTTTGGGTCAAAAACTGACTTTTTTGATGATGCCGGCTATGGAAAACGTTGAAGTTTTGGGGTCATTTTGTAAAAAATCTAAATGTTTTCTTTTCTCACTGGATTCTGAATGTAATGAGTTGAACTCTGCAGGGAATTCAATTCTGGCCTCTAGGCACCTTGTATGAACTTTTGAGGAAATTTGGTGAAGTTGTATTTTTGGGTCAAAAAACTGACTTTTTTTATGATGCCGGCTATGGAAAACGTTGAAGTTTTGGGGGAATTTGGAAAAAATCTAAAATTTCTCTATTCGCACTGGATGCTGAATGTAATGAGTTGAACTCTTCAGGGAATTCAATTCTGGCCTCTAGGCACCTCGTATGAACTTTTGAGCAAATTTGGTTAAGTTGTATTTTTGGGTCAAAACTGACTTTTTTGATGATGCCGGCTATGGAAAACGTTGAAGTTTTGGGGGAATTTGGAAAAATCTAAAATGTTTCTTTTCTCACTGGATACTGAATGTAATGAGTTGAAATCTTCAGGGAATTCCATTTTGGCCTCTAGGCACCTCGTATGAACTTTTGAGCAAATTTGATCAACTTGTATTTTTGGGTCAAAAACTGACTTTTTTGATGATGCCGGCTATGGAAAACGTTGAAGTTTGTGGTCATTGTGTAAAAAAATCTAAAGGTTTTCTTTTCTCACTGGATACTGAATGTAATGAGTTGAACTCTTCAGTGAATTCAATTCTGGCCTCTTGGCACCTCATTTGAACTTTTGAGAAAATTTTATCTACTTGCATTTTTGGGTCAAAACTGACTTTTTAAATGATGCCGGCTATGGAAAACGTTGAAGTTTTGGGGGCATTTTGTAAAAAATCTAAAATTTTTCTTTTCTCACTTGATACTGAATGTAATGAGTTGAACTCTTCAGGGAATACAATTCTGGCCTCTAGGCACCTCGTATGAACTTCTGAGGAAATTTGGTGAAGTTGTATTTTTGGGTCTAAAACTGACTTTTGTGATGATGCCGGCTATGGAAAACGTTGAAGTTTTGGGCGCATTTTGTAAAAAATCTAAAAAATTTCTTTTCTCACTGGATACTGAATGTAATGAGTTGAACTCTTCAGGGAATTCAATTCTGGCCTCTAGGCATCTCGTGTGAACTTTTGAGCAAATTTTATCCGCTGGTATTTTTGGGTCAAAAACTGACTTTTTCGATGATGCGGGCTATGGAAAACGTTCAAGTTTTGGGGGCATTTTGTAAAAAATCTAAAATGTTTCTTTTCTCACTGGATACTGAATGTAATGAGTTGAACTCTTCAGGGAATTCAATTCTGGGCTCTAGGTACCTTGTATGAACTTTTGAGGAAATTTGGTGCAGTTGTATTTTTTGGTCAAAAACTGACTTTTTCGATGATGCCGGCTATGGAAAACATTGAAGTTTTGGGGGCATTTTGTAAAAAATCTAAAATTTTTCTTTTCTCACTGGATACTGATTGTAATGAGTTGAACTCTTCAGGGAATTCAATTCTGGCCTCTAGGCACCTCGTGTGAACTTTTGAGCAAATTTGGTGAAGTTGTATTTTTGGGTCAAAAACTGACTTTTTTGATGATGCCGGCTATGGAAAACGTTGAAGTTTTGGGGGAATTTGGAAAAATCTAAAATTTCTCTTTTCTCACTGGATACTGAATGTAATGAGTTGAAATCTTCAGGGAATACAATTCTGGCCTCTAGGCACCTCGTATGAACTTTTGAGCAAATTTGGTGAAGTTGTATTTTTGGGTCAAAAACTGACTTTTTCGATGATGCCGGCTATGGAAAACGTTGAAGTTTTGGGTGTATTTCGTAAAAGTTCGAAAATGTTTCTTTTCTCACTGGATACTGAATGTAATGAGTTGAGCTCTTCAGGGAATTCAATTCTGGCCTTGAGATACCTCGTGTGAACTTTTGAGCAAATTTGATCAACTTGTATTTTTGGGTCAAAAACTGACTTTTTTGATGATGCCGGCTATGGAAAACGTTGAAGTTTTGGGGTCATTTTGTAAAAAATCTAAATGTTTTCTTTTCTCACTGGATACTGAATGTAATGAGTTGAACTCTGCAGGGAATTCAATTCTGGCCTCTAGGCACCTTGTATGAACTTTTGAGGAAATTTGGTGAAGTTGTATTTTTGGGTCAAAAAACTGACTTTTTTTATGATGCCGGCTATGGAAAACGTTGAAGTTTTGGGGGAATTTGGAAAAAATCTAAAATTTCTCTATTCGCACTGGATGCTGAATGTAATGAGTTGAACTCTTCAGGGAATTCAATTCTGGCCTCTAGGCACCTCGTATGAACTTTTGAGCAAATTTGGTTAAGTTGTATTTTTGGGTCAAAACTGACTTTTTTGATGATGCCGGCTATGGAAAACGTTGAAGTTTTGGGGGAATTTGGAAAAATCTAAAATGTTTCTTTTCTCACTGGATACTGAATGTAATGAGTTGAAATCTTCAGGGAATTCCATTTTGGCCTCTAGGCACCTCGTATGAACTTTTGAGCAAATTTGATCAACTTGTATTTTTGGGTCAAAAACTGACTTTTTTGATGATGCCGGCTATGGAAAACGTTGAAGTTTGTGGTCATTGTGTAAAAAAATCTAAAGGTTTTCTTTTCTCACTGGATACTGAATGTAATGAGTTGAACTCTTCAGTGAATTCAATTCTGGCCTCTTGGCACCTCATTTGAACTTTTGAGAAAATTTTATCTACTTGTATTTTTGGGTCAAAACTGACTTTTTAAATGATGCCGGCTATGGAAAACGTTGAAGTTTTGGGGGCATTTTGTAAAAAATCTAAAATTTTTCTTTTCTCACTTGATACTGAATGTAATGAGTTGAACTCTTCAGGGAATACAATTCTGGCCTCTAGGCACCTCGTATGAACTTCTGAGGAAATTTGGTGAAGTTGTATTTTTGGGTCTAAAACTGACTTTTGTGATGATGCCGGCTATGGAAAACGTTGAAGTTTTGGGCGCATTTTGTAAAAAATCTAAAAAATTTCTTTTCTCACTGGATACTGAATGTAATGAGTTGAACTCTTCAGGGAATTCAATTCTGGCCTCTAGGCATCTCGTGTGAACTTTTGAGCAAATTTTATCCGCTGGTATTTTTGGGTCAAAAACTGACTTTTTCGATGATGCGGGCTATGGAAAACGTTCAAGTTTTGGGGGCATTTTGTAAAAAATCTAAAATGTTTCTTTTCTCACTGGATACTGAATGTAATGAGTTGAACTCTTCAGGGAATTCAATTCTGGGCTCTAGGTACCTTGTATGAACTTTTGAGGAAATTTGGTGCAGTTGTATTTTTTGGTCAAAAACTGACTTTTTCGATGATGCCGGCTATGGAAAACGTTGAAGTTTTGGGGGCATTTTGTAAAAAATCTAAAATTTTTCTTTTCTCACTGGATACTGATTGTAATGAGTTGAACTCTTCAGGGAATTCAATTCTGGCCTCTAGGCACCTCGTGTGAACTTTTGAGCAAATTTGATCAACTTGTATTTTTTGGTCAAAAACTGACTTTTTTGATGATGCCGGCTATGGAAAACGTTGAAGTTTGTGGTCATTGTGTAAAAAAATCTAAAGGTTTTCTTTTCTCACTGGATACTGAATGTAATGAGTTGAACTCTTCCGGGAATTCAATTCTGGCCTCTTGGCACCTCATTTGAACTTTTGAGCAAATTTTATCTACTTGTATTTTTGGGTCAAAACTGACTTTTTAAATGATGCCGGCTATGGAAAACGTTGAAGTTTTGGGGACATTTTGTAAAAAATCTAAAATTTTTCTTTTCTCACTGGATACTGAATGTAATGAGTTGAACTCTTCAGGGAATACAATTCTGGCCTCTAGGCACCTCGTATGAACTTCTGAGGAAATTTGGTGAAGTTGTATTTTTGGTTCAAAAACTGACTTTTTTTATGATGCCGGCTGTGGAAAACGTTGAAGTTTTGGGGGCATTTTGTAAAAAATCTAAAAATTTTCTTTTCTCACTGGATACTGAATGTAATGAGTTGAACTCTTCAGGGAATTCAATTCTGGCCTTTAGGCACCTCGTATGAACTTTTTGAGCAAATTTGATCAACTTGTATTTTTGGGTCCGTTGGTGGTGCCATTAACACCCCTACTATACTGCTCGAAAATAGGCCACATAAATATCACCATGGTCAAATTGTGGGACTAACAAAAAATATTTACCCAAAAGAACCCCCCCAAAAACAAATTGACAACCTCTTGGTGGGAGGGGGGGGGTCTAAAGCCCCCAGAGGGCCCCCCCTTTGGGTGCGCCACGGATTGATAAGTAAACATATAAACAAAGAAGTTTAAACTTGTTTCACTTTCATAATTGGGTCCGGATCAAACGTTAGGACTAAGTATTTTGTGATCAAGTATTTTGGTTTTGTAAAAAAAATTCTCACCTTGAGAAATTGTAGCAGTTCCTGTTCACTCAAACCACGATGTGAACACCAGAGGGCAGTAGTCGCATTTCGTACCAGGCCAGGGCTGTGCAAGTCAAGACATGCAAACTGTTAACCTTTTCCAATGCAAAGTTCTTACAAATAGGACAAAAGAACACAAATTTTCCCAAAAACAAATATTAACTATCTTTCCTTTACCCCACTCAGGTCAACTACAGTCTTGTTGACTAATATCGGTCTCGGGACCGGTCTACCAAGGGCATTCGCATCACTGGTTACCAATAACCGCATGCATCATAATGCACAGCAGGGAGCCAGGACCTAAAGTTCCGTGATGTTTTGACTATCATTTCACGAGAGGCATTCGCAGGCGAAATTAAGTCAGGAATCAACCAGAAATTGACCAACAATTGTTGTTCAACTTGCTCATAAATTAAAAGAGGCACTCCCCCAACCAAGAAAATATTTAATATTGATATTTAATATTGCTGTCTTTGCTTATGGCAAGTTTACATACTATCATCAAATGGTTGTCTGGCCAGTATCAATAAAACAGTTTTTGTACATGAATGCAAACATATTTACGAAAAAAGGGCATCATTTTTTAACTTTAGTTGAACCCTTTGGAAACTGTAGAATGCTTTACAACAACAACAAAAAAACATGAGAAAATTGTGGAACTGCAAAATCACTCTTAAATCTGATTAATCAAGAATACAAATTTGAGACAAACCTCTCGACAATGCTTTGTTCAAAGTCCTTCTCCATTCGGTCCAGGATTTTCACAAAGAGCTCGCCCGGATTGCTGGCTGCCAAGTATTCCTTGATGGCCGTGGTCAGCTGGAAGAAGTTCCCATACATACGCACCTGAGGAATGAAAAGGTCGAAGGAGACAAGATTTCCAAAATGCAATCTTGATATGAAAAAGTAGTGTGTGCACGGTTCATAACCAATAGATCTCATGAAAACTACTTGAACTTACAGTGAAATCTCGATAAGTCAAACTCTGATAACTCAAAACAACTGTTAAGTCAAACAAAGAATCCATTCCCATCAGCAGTATGACAATGATATACAACCCTGCTTAACTCAAAACTCTGCTGAAGTCAAATGTTGAACCTGTTCCCTTGAGGTTTGACTTATCGAGATCTCACTGTATTTGACATGTTATTTTTGTCAGAAACAGACTCTTCTCGATAGATGGTCAAGAACAGGGGGCAATTGAAAAGATTTTGTTAAAATATATATCAGTACTCCTTTGCAAGGACAGATTTAGTTTTGAAACAGACATTCACTGCCAAGTCATTCCCACTTCATGAAGTTTGTGATGTCACAAAGGTGAAAACAGTGAAATGGCCAGTAAAAGTTTGGGGTAATGCTTTCTTGAATTGATACATCTGTACATGGTGGTCCCCCAAAAAGTTTACACTTTTAGTTTACACTTTTTCAAATGCAAATTTCTGACCATTTTTCTGTAAATGGCTGCCATTTCTTAATTTAGCATTTATTTTTAACGCCGTTTTCACCATATACAACCAAGATCTTGTAGTCTAGGAATATCATAGAACAATTTCAACATGTCTTTCCAATTTTGAGAAAGCTGCGTATGAAAAAGTGTAAACCTTTTTTGGGGCCACCCTGTACAAATCTTTCAAAAATGACCATTAGAGGCAACATAACTGTTTGAAAGGGGAGTGTGTGGCCTAGTGGTTAGGGTTCGTGACTCACGATCAGAGTGTCCTGGGTTCGAATCCAGCCGCTGGTCATATATTGTGTCCTTGGGCAAGGCACTTCACCCCCACTTGCCCCTCTCCACCCAGGAGTATAAATGGGTACCGGCATTAGCTGGGGAGTAGCCTGCGATGGACTAGCATCCCATCCAGGGGGAGTAGAAATATTCTCAGTCGTTTCATGCTACTGAAACCGGAGATAAACGCCGGCCTGATGAGCCACATTGGCTTGGGACAGACTTTTACTAACTGTTTGAAGACAAGTGAAGAATGACAGATATTGTCTCAAAGTCTGACAATAAAAATATGACTCAGCTTGAGTCTTTTCAGAATAGGCCACATTTTTTTAGCAAATTGGGACACTGTTTTGCTCTATTTTAGGGATGCAAGCTGAGACGTGAAGCCGTGGTTGTTTAATGTAAGATTACATTTCGCCAAATTCAGGTATTAGATATTTTTAAATCTTTACTCTTTGAAGTACAGTCTCAAAATTGATTATGATATTGTTATTTGTTTATATCCAGAAAGTGGAAACCAAACAGCAGTCTCATTCTATTATTATTTCTGTTCTTGAAAAAAGCCGCAATAAGTTTGCCTTACCTCATCAAGCAGAGCTTTCAGGTAGAGAGGATTATCCGTCTGCTTAGCATCAATGATCATGGATCGTTGCTCCTCATTCAATGTCTTGCCATACAGATTCATGTAGCCAGTCACAATGTCTGATTTCTCATTGACGTTGAGGGGATTGACTCTCATTGAGGGCCAACCGGCCGCAGTGACGGCATCCATGGCCTAGATATCACACAAAGTTATGTGAGGCATATTGACAAAATGAGACAGAACTGGGCAGAGGTCCAAATGAGGGATGTTGGTTATACAGGGTGTCCAAAAAAAAAAAAGCGAGCCCTCAAAACGCCTTCTCTTTCACAGCTTTAAAAAAAAAAATACATTACAAATATTGATACATATTTGGAGAGTATAGTTCATTAGCTTTTCAACAACGAAAACATCTGTCCAATTTGGTAAATATTGATTGAGTTATGTCCAATTCAAACAAGTGCTTATTTTTTTATTTTGTCCACGGTCTCAATTGTCATTCCAGTGGGAAGGTAATGGATTTAGTGCGAGGGTAGCTTTGCTTTCTTAAATATTTTAATCTTTTTATGTTTAGTTGAATGTTTTTTATTTTTCATTTTTTGCAACAATGGTCATTTGTCCTTTTAGAAGAAATGGTAGTCCTAAAAAGGACTGTTTGGTTAACTTCTTAGATGCTTACTGTGCTGCTCTGCCTCTACGTGGTAGCCTCTTTCACGGATGCAAGTTTCGGCCTGTGTTCTTATTGAGGCTGCAAAATATCAGTCGCCGTGGACAACATGAAAAAGCGGCACTTGTTTTCTATTGGGCATAACTCAATAAATATTTACCGGATAGGAAATCTTTTGTTTGTTTGTTGAAAAGCTAATGAACTATACTCTCTAAATATGTATTGATATTTGCGAGGGACTTTTTTAAAGCTGTGAAAAACGGGCGTTTTGAGGGTTTGGTTTTTTGGGGGGACACCCTGTAATTGTTCATTTGACTCAAGAGCCAAAATGGCAAAAGAGGATTAAAATGTGGACTCACCCTCCCTGGTAGAGTTGATAAAATCATACACACGTTGCTTGGCAACTCCTTAGGTATCCACTTCAAATCTTGCTCATCACCTACAGAATTTATAAATCAACACAAATCTTGTTCAATTTTGAGATATCAATCAGCAAAATATTTTTTCCACTTTTAAACCTGCTCAGCAGCCGTCTGTAGTTAGGTAGACAGTTCCAAGACAAGATTACGATGAGATGAAGGGATGGTCATCTTAAAACCAAAGAATTGCTTGATCTCTTCACACAACCTACCTGCTCCAGTGCCAGTGTCTAGTTGGTTCAAGGCATCCAGTACCAGCACTACTTTAGCTTGCTTGGCAGCCATCTGAAGCCAGGTCGACAGTTCCAAGACAAGATTACGATGAGATGAAGGGACGGTCATCTCAAAACCAAAGAACTGCTTGATCTCTTCGTACAACCTGGCACAAAGATAATATTATACGGAGAACTAAGTATATTTTCTTCACCTGGAATAACAGTCAGTCTTGACTTGAACAGATTAAAGCGGTGAATGTACACTGACCACCACCCTCCCCCTTTATTGCCATGGATTGCAAGGGTATGTAAAAAAAACTATTGCTGAAGCTAGTCCTTGTACCCTTACTCCAAGTTAAATATATATCTACAAAAATGTACAAACATGTTAGGCGAAAAAAAAAAATAAGTCGGTCTCTGGTCAGCGCGCGCGTCGATTTCAATCATGCGCGTCAATCTTTTTTTTTTCAAAATGTTCCGCGGTAGCTCCAACAGCGCCCTCTATTGCCGCACCTCCTCAATTTTTTTTACCAAAGAGCACCAAGGAATGGGAAATTGCACCAAGGCAAATGATCGAGAGCACCAAGGCAAATTATGGAGGACACCAATGTACATGAGAACACCAAATAGCAAAATAGTACCCCACCTTGTCTGTATAAACCAAGCTTGAAGAAAAAAAAAAAAAGCCAAAAAAAAAAAAAAAAAGCCGCGTCCCCGCGTCAATTTCGGAACTTTGGTCTGACCAGAGACCGAATATTTTTTTTGGGGGCCTTATTAAGACTATATTTTTCCAATCACAATGAAAAAGTAAAACCCCAAAATTGAAAATTTCGACACTGAAGGTTGACCTACCGGCGTAGAAGATTCAGATGAGAAGCGCTCTCCGACGAACTCCCAATGAAATGCATGAAGAGAAACGCATCAGGGTTAGCCTCTTGATACTGGTGGGACCAGTTAGCAACGAGGGCCGACTTGCCCGATCCTGACTCCCCAAGAATGATCAGAGGCACGTTGGCAGACTCCTCCTGGTCAGTTTGTCGGCCGACCTTGAGAACAAACTCGTTGATTTGTTTGATGTACTCCAAGCCGCCAATGTAGATGCGACGACGCGGCTCGGCGAAGGCCTGGTGAGCCTCGTGCTCACGCTGTAAGGCGGTCAGCTCCGTGCCTGGGGGGAAGTCTTGGTCTATGCACCACATTAGGTCCTGAAATGAAGACAAATAAATCAATTAGACTAGTTTGGGGATAAAACTGTGTTACTTATTCCGTAAATTCCCGAATATGCTATGAGTGATATTTATACAATCTTGAAGACAAATTGACTAACTCATCAATCAATCAACCAGCAAAAAAAAAAAATAAGGGGTATGGCCTTCTTTTATTGTTTTCTTCCAAATGACAGCACGCCAGAAAGAATAATTTCACAGGGAGTTTAGTGCCATTACTATCTTTAAACCAAGTAAGTTTTCAACAAAACTTTCGTCAGTTACTTTTTGGACAGCTGCAAGTGATATGCTCTTCCTTTAAATGAAAAGTTTTCAAAATTCAACGAATTGAAGTACATTGGGGTAAGCACTGGGAACCCTGGCATTTGAGTTTGTATAAAAACTAAAAACTGATTAGGAGCAGTTTCCTAATGAGGGGTTTTAGTAGAGCAGGCTGCACTGTTAGGCCAAAAAAAAAATAATATTTGGTCTCTGGTCAGACCGAAGTTCTGGAATTGACGCGGCGACGCGTTTTTTTTTTTTTTTTTTTTTTGATTTTTCTTTTTTTTTCTTCAAGCTTGGATTGTACAGACAAGGTGGGGTACTATTTTGCATTTTTGGTGTCCTCATGTACATTGGTGTCCTCCATATTTGCCTTGGTGCTCTCGATCATTTGCCTTGGTGCAATTTCCCATTCCTTGGTGCTACTTTGGTAAAAAAAAATTGCGGTGCGGCAATAGAGGGCGCTGTTGGAGCTACCGTGGAATATTTTGGGAAAAAAAGATTGACGCACATGATTAAAATCGACGCGCGCGCTGACCAGAGACCGACCTTTTTTTTTTTTGCCTTACCATATTATGTCACCCCATTACGCCAAGTAAAAAAAAAACATTCTTGTTAGGGTTTTTAGAAAAAAACGGAGGCCCTTTTTCCCCCAAGACAGCGGAGCTTCTCAAGATGTCAGGTGGCTTCTTCCATTTTTTTACTCTTTCGCTGATACGTTTGAGTCCACAGGACACAAAAGTATCATCCTTTCTACAAAATATGAACTTGCATGCAAAGCTAAAAGACAGAATATATTGCCAAAAAAACATTTAAAAAGAAGAAAAGAAGGAAGCAGGCGGGAAAAAAGGAAGCAGGCAAGAAAAAATTCGGTTTATTTGTTTTACTCTGCCTCACTGTTTTACTGCCTTGCTAAATGTTTTACTGCCATTTTTTTTATTACTAGTTTTTTCTTTAACTACTCATAATTTCTTTCAATTGTACACAGTGATTCCTAATTTCTCAGCTGTCCTTTTCCCCATTTTTCATATCGCATCCATCAAGACACTTTTTATTTTACAACTCCTCATAATTTCTTGCAATTGAACACAGCAGTTCCTAATTTCTCTGCCCTTACATCCTGGATGAGTGTGCATCCTTCGTCAGCCGTGGAGTATCGACGTAGAGGCATTCCAGATGTCTCCACCGACTTCCTGAGTTGATACTGACGATCAAAATGCCACTGTGTCTCTCCCATCGACTTTGTCTTCTTCTTCTTGCTGGCATCTTTTTGTTCCTAAAAAGACCAAAAGGCGTTAAAATAGACCAACAAAGTATTAAAATAAAAGTACATTTTCGGAGAACAAACTGACAGGGGTCATTCTATAAATTCAGGGTCCAAAGTGTGACATTTTTGCTGTCCCCGTTACCTTGGCACTTGGCAATTTGCCATTCTGGTATCATTAAGGATGACTTCAAATCAATGTTGGGAAGGTAGTCTGCTATTCATAATTGGAGGACGACTGCATTAAGGAGTGCATCAAAATTATGAAATCATAGATGTCATCAGATGTAACTCGCAGGTAAATTTACATTATGCTACAATTCAAACATTAGTTGTTTACAATCTACAATTTGTCAATTGAAGTAAGGTTACTAAACTGCTTCAATGAGCGGGATTGTTCTAGTGTTTGTACCAAGAAAATTGCATTGTTATACAGCGATCTCATTCGCTAAAAACTTGGCCTATTTACAAATTGAAGGCAAAACAATAACCTTTACAAGAACTGCACACTGTGTTACTTTTGTGAAAAGTTACACTTTACAATTGTTGACTGCTGTGATGTGGGATATGATGTTTTGAACACCCGAGGCGCATAGCACCAAGGCGAAGACGACGGTGCTTTGTGCCCCGAGGGTGTTCAAAACCTCATATCCCACATCAGAGCAGTCAACAAATGTTTTGTTATACCTCTGTCTTGGATTCTTTGGACTTTGATGTAATAATCACGAAAACAAACAGCATTAAACACAACAATCATGACAATCGAACGTCAACTCACATGCATGTTGCGTGCTCGAAACAGCTGATGATTGTCTGCTAGTTCACTGCTCCCACTCATGTGTGAAAGCATGGTGAAAATAGCGTGGGTACCAACGATACAAGCGTTTCACACTGTAGGTACCATACGTACAAAGTCATAGCACACTCCCTGTGGGATATCACGTAAGTGATATCCCACACGGAGTGTGCCATGACTTTTTATAAACTTAACACGTGATCGTTCTAGGCCAATGAAAATACAGTATTCAAGACAGGGGTATAACAATACAAAATATGTTGTACTCCAGGCTATACACTTTTGCAAGTAAAACCAACTGCAGTCTCAGAAGCAGTAACTGTGACTTACAGCAGCAGACTTTGCTCCGTCCACTCCGGCCTGTAGCTCATCCTCGTCTTCGTCTGGTTCAAGATCTTCCCTCTTAATACGAGGCTCTCGCAGATAGAAGAAGGTGCGGCCTTGGTTCAGTGCTTTATCTTTCAGAGCAGCATGCATGATCTCAAGCTAGTAAGAATGTAATCCACAACAGATATGTTTGTCAAAAAGCTAAAAACACTTTGGACTTTCCTTCACCCTAAAAGTGCTGCATGGGGGGGGGGGGGGGGGCAGGGCTGTACACTGCTACGCAATTTTTTTTATGCTGAGCTTTTTCTGATTATCAGACTCAGATGTCTTGCAAACGTTCTCAGACCAATTTCATAAAAATCGACCATTTGTTAAGAGCAAAATGTCAAATTTTCAATGCATAATAATGGCAAATTTTAAATTTCCATTTATAGTGTGTGGGAAAATGCAGTCATTCACAGATGGATGAACGAGGTATTACTGATCATATACAAATAAACTTTGTCAAATTGATATTGAAACTTTCCAGATCTATGAAACACACTTTAGTAAACAATATTTAATAAAAATCCAATTTAATAAAAATCATGAACGTGGCAGAATCTGTAAGATTATATGGACAAAAAAGAATGTAAGATGGCCTAAAAACTCCAGCTCTTTAACGGTCAAGTCAGACAAGCATGTCCCAAATAACTTTTGTGTTGTGAAGTTACATCATCAAATTAGGTTTTGCCCTTCACCGACGTATAAACACTGTATACTCAGTGTGTTACCTCCCGAGTGAAAGTTGAAAAAAAAATGCTTTCTAGTGCAGGAGGTCGTGGGTTCGCGTCTCACCCGAGTGATTTTTTTCCAACTTTCTCTCGGGAGGTAACACACTGAGTATACAGTGTTGATATGTCGGTGAAGGGCAAAACCTAATTTGGTTTACATCACCCGACACCAAAAAACAAATGCATCTTATGAAAAGTTACATCATGTTTTTATAAAGTTTTCAGACCCTACACTCACTTTGGTGACGCTAGATTCAAAGCGATACTGATCAATCCACTCCAAGGGTTTGAAGTTCTCGATGGCATAGTCATAGCTCTTGTTGAGTAGTTTGTCTGGGCGCGTCTGTCTCTGGCTCCAGCCGAAGCGATCGCCCATCAGACAGATGAAGTACGGCCGGCACTTCTCAATCTTACCGAGGGACCAAATAATATTCCATCTCACAAAAAGACCACAGGACAGAAGTGACTAACAGTTTACATAAATGGGATTTTGTTAAGCCTAAAGCAAGAGTCGAAAGGTATGGCAGAGGGGTTCTTTGCTTCACAGGTAACACATGTGCATGCAGTACTTGTTAATTGATCTTTTAATAATTAATGTCATCCTCAATTAATCTTTATTGCTATTTCTAAATCTGCCTCTTCGAAACAATATTAAACCTGACAAATATTTAGAAATTGATATTGATATTAAACATGTTAATCTTTTATCTTTTTCGAAAAAGGTTTGCACAAATTCATGGCATCAACTTCCGTACCTCTCTCAGGCAAATGGAGATTGTTTTCCCGTCGTTGGTCTGCCCCGCTGTGATACCCCAGCGTAGATCCACGTAGGTAAAGAACACCCCCCGGTCCAGACAAATCCTGTTCAACTCACGGAACGCTTTCTTGATCAGCACCTTGAAGATGGATCAAGGCATATTTTATCTGGACACACTAATCACATTTCATTTCTTACATTATTATGATCGGATCTCCCCAAAAAAATAGTCTTAAGGACAATTTTTCACTAAAAAAGTAATTTTTCAAATGTTAAAGGAAGCACATAATTTGTTTTTCATTTTGAGGTATCACTCAATTTGACAACTACAGATATTAATGTGGGTGAAAGGATTCATTCATTCATTTGGTTTTACTGCTTTGTTAATCTAACAATTGGCAGGATACACGCATATTGGGAAACTTCAAATCCTCATGGACGTGCCATGTCAAAAAGATATGCTTCTGTACATTGTCGGTTTGCACAGACTTGTTGGTGGAGAGTTGGGATGGGGCGGCCTCGTTTCCGATATTTGTTGGCATTGAAGAGCAGCTTTTTCGTGTTGAGGTCTGGAACACCACGGATCATATGACAACAGTAGCTGTCTTGCTGATCTCCGATAAAGGTGCAGCAGATTTGGTGAATTCTGACATTGGTGTAGTGAAACTTGTGTTCCTAACCAAGCTGCGTTGACCTGCAAAATCCACTGTTGCCATTGCCTCCTCAGTGGGTTCCAGTTTTGGCTGGAATAGGTCAGTGTACTTCTGATCATTGACTGTTCCTATTTGTTACCATTGTGTCAGATTCTGTTAAATTGCCTATGGGCTCCGTGCACAAGTACCCACTCGATGGTTACAAAGAGAGAGTTGGGGGAGACCACTGGGCGAGACTTTCAACTTTCTGACTTGCCTGACGCTTACGCACGATGCAACTGGTTCATGCACACTATAGGTCGAGTCGTGCATACTTCACATCCTATACACACATAAACCAGTGAGCGCACAAAGTGTGTCCCTCTGAAGCTTTCCAAAGTGGTAAACAAACCCCCATCTGCGGTTCGTACACAGGGTCAATTGCTAGATAGTAGCTGTGGTGATGACTTGTGACTCATTTTGTTAGGGTGGGTCAAAAATTACATAAATTCTTTCATAAGATATTGTAATATTCTCGTTCACAGAATACTGGGAAGGAAGGCAATGCATTGTGGGAACTTTATCGCCAAAATGATGCACATTTGTTACATCTTTTGCCAATTTGACCAATCCATCCAAAAATTTATTTGGGTCGAAATCGCTTCTGATAATGTTGGTTCAGGGTGACTCCGGTTCGCCGGTCTGAAACAGGTGTGAATATAGTCCTTAGCAGGGGTGTAGTTGAGTCCATCACAAGGCCATCACAAGTAATCACAAGTCCAACCACTAGTAACAGTGCATGAACAATAACAAAGGAATGTCTTTGTCAAAGCTCATTTGAACAACACGTGAGTTGAATTGACCCATCGCGGTAGAATCGCCTTATGACCCATCGCGGTAGAATCGCGTCAACGTAGCTTGTCAAATATTGTCCAATTTACTTGATATACAAATGGATGCAGCACACGCAAAATCCGAGACAAACAAATATTTAACGCACAAAATTTCACAGGGTTGTCTAAGGGGCGTGGCTAACTCGCAAACGGTGATAGGTTAATTGGGATTGGAGGACTTATGACGGACTTGCAGGGACTTGAGATTGACTCGACTACGCCCTTACCTCCCTCTCCTCTGTGAAATCCCTGAAGGTGCTGGAGACAAAGACACGGATCTCTCGCTTCTTACGCTTGATGCGCTGATGACTGGGTTTGGGTCGCGGTGTGGCCTGGGTGGGGGTCTTAGCTTCGTCCTGCTCAGCACCACGCTGGACTTCTGTCTCTTCTGTCGGTGGTAAGAAGACGGAAAGGGGAAAATAGTCCGAGAAACGTTCTGGTTCAAACCATTCCTTCTGGCAAAATGAGACAGAACTGGGCAGAGGTCAAAATGAGGGTTTGCGGGTATTAGAAAAGAGAATAAAATTCTCATTATAGTACTGTTTGTTACACTTCAATCAGATATTACATTGACAAGTTATGGCTGTTTAAAGTTTGCATTCATCGACATGTCGAAAAGGTTAAATACTGAGAAAAAGGTCTTTAAAGTTTTGTTGTAGTGAAAATGAAAGATGCCAATTGTTTTTAGCTATAAAAACAATTTTTATACTATTTCTTAAAAATATGAGTGTCAGACGTTTATAGCTTAAAAACACATTTATTCCATGATTTTTATACTATTTCTTTAAAATATGTGTGTTGGACGTATCAAAGATTCCAAATTTCAATAAATCTGAAAATTGAAAAAAATCACCCCCATTCATTTTTTGCGGGGGCATTTTTCTCCACTACGGCCTGTGCCCAGTTCTGTCTCATTTTGCCAGAAACCTCACAATAGTGCCTACATGTAAACCTAACAAAACGAGACAAACAAATGCAAAAACTATCTGTGACATGTTTGTACTCCCAAAATGACTTCATTGCAGCAGCCTAAAACAAAATGACCTATTCTCAACTTTTCCAGTCATTTTGAGACTGCTGATCAAGACGACCGCTTACCCAAAGTGTTCTGCATCTCAGCTAGTTCGTCTTTATGCCTCGCATACAGGCCACGCACCATGGCATCCAGGTCCTTAGTGAAGCTAGCTCCAGTGTGTAACGGGATATCGTCGTAGTTGTCTCCGGCGGCTGCAGTCACTTCGCTCTTGACGCGGATGCAGGCCGCGGAAACGTAGGGCCCAAAGTGACCCGCCCACATCTTCATATCTTTGGCTGAGAATGGAGAGTTTGAATAAGAAGCTGCCTCCGTATCTCTTGTCTTGAGCAATGGTCAAGGTCTTTGTCAATTAAAAATGTACTGGCATGCTGGCAGCGGGCTTCGTGCACAAGTTTTGGGGGAGACCACTGGGAGAGATATTTGAATGCATTGCCGATGACGCCTGACCCTCACACAAAGCTGGCAATGGCAATGTGGACAGTAAGATTATAATAAGTCGTGCGTATTTCGCACTATATGCCCGTGAACAAGTACATGCACATGTGTGTCCCGTTCACTGGGCTCTCAAAAGTGGTGAAAAGCGCCCTCTCTTGTTTACGCATGAAGCCCACAGACATAGCCCTAGATCTGGAAGCCCATTCTTCTCTACCTCCAGATGCAAAATGGTGGCAGTCACTATCTGCTTGTACACAGAAGCCAGTGATCTTACGGCTTCTCTCATGAAAGAACTATGATAAAGTGCCATCTGCAAACTTTCAATTTCAATAACACTTACGCACAATTCACAATTTACCAACTTAAAATACATACGGACTAGTGCATCTTACAATAGCACGCAGCACACATTGTTTGATATGGACAGCGCAATAGGGGATAACACCACAATGGTGCTGCCACGGATCGACCAATCAGAATGGAGGATTAAAGTTTGCTTGATTAAGACAAATGCGTATAACGGTCTCACCGACAGTCTCGATGCCGACACTGCGGACTCCGGGGCCGTAGTTCTTGAAGGTGAAGCAGACCGGTATCCATCCCCCTGACCTGGTGTTGATGGTGTCCTGCTGACCGGTGGTCTGTTGCTCAATCACTGTGCCGTCTTGACCGAGCAGGGTGGCAGTCAGCCAGTAGAAACCACCTTGATCGCAACCTTCACGAAAAGACTCCGACACCTGGACAAGAAAATACAAGTTAAGACTGAGAGGAATATTTCGGCAAACAATGGATAATTTTTGAAGGTACAACAGCAATTTTGCATATCGATACTGTCCCTGATGTACCTAGGCATCGACTCCGCTCATCCTCAGACTTGACCCGGCTTTCCATTCCTAGATCTAAAAGGAAGGCCGGGGACAGTGCCTTTGCAGTCGCAGTGCCCCGCTTGTGGAACACGCTCCCTACAAGTCTGAAAGAAGCTGCTTCGTTGCATGTCTTTAAATGCCTCCTCAAGACATTTCTTTCCCCAGAACCTTCCTGATATGCTTGTTTACTTTGTTAGTTCGTAATTGTTGGTTTGGTTTTTGTATTTTGTATAGTTCACATTTCTTCCCTCTTTGTTATTGTAAGGTACTCTGTTCTTCATATAGTGCCATATAAATATTTTGTATTATCATTATTTTATTTTTTAACCTCCTATGGAAAAATGGTTATTACTTGGGTCAATATTGGTCAAGACCCCCATTGGTTTGTACACAGTAGGCCAGGAGGTGAGGAAGAAAAATTTGACCATTGGTGACCTCTTAAGCAAGAGGGTTAAATTAATGAGTTTTTGATTATTCTGTATGTATTAATAATGTTGTACTTGTGACAGTTATAAGATCGTTCAAGATATCCTCTTTTTGAACTATTGTTAACATTTGTCAGAGAAAAAATACTAAGTCAAGTAACTAGCGTAGTGGTTTCATTATTTGATATGGGAATACTGTTTTTCTTGTCAACATTCTTTACTCAGATAGAAGTGTGTTTTTCCAGAGCCAATAATCTCACTTAGACCTTCTTTAGAACTCAAGGAGATCTACTACTTCATTAAAATCATAATTCTGACTCCTACTTTAACAATAAAACCAATGAAAATCAAAGCATTAGGCCAAAAAAAAAAGTCAAGTCTCCGGTTTCTGGTATGGAGCTTGCCCAAAAACTGGTGCGGCGACGCGTCTTTTTTTTTTTTTACCTGATTTTTTTTGCTTCAAATGTCGGCTGATGACTGCAAATGGTGCCCGACTAAACTTAGTGCAAATATATGGGAGTCCAGAGAGGCCACATAAAGCTTATTCTCGACCATAACCCAATCTAAAAACACGTTAAAATTGTGCAGCAGCAGGATTCCAGTCAAACCAGTGAGTTTGGCGGTTTTGAGACATCATCTTTCATTGAAAAAAAAACTGTTTCATTTTGCCAACGCGCATGGCTACGGCGACGCGCGCGCATACCAGAAACCGGAGACTTTTTTTTGGGACCTTAAGCGTCTAAATTTGCTTATGGATAATACACTACACCATTGGTAATTGACTGATCACCACCTTCTGTTTTGACTGTACATGTACCCCTATGTAAACCTTTTTGTATGATGATGCTCCTTAAGTTGTTGCTACGAACGGTTATGCAAACTTTCATTCTAGTTAGTCGTTTAGAGTGCTTAACATTACTTTTCCACTGGACAATAGATAAAAACTGGTGATCTGTAAAATGTACATTTGTGGGAAGTCTTGGAAAAGACCTCGACTACAACACTAATATAAACAAAGGAAGCCCTATGCAGATACATCGATAATAATGACCTGAATTTCTGGGCTGGAGTCCAGATGTTTCTCTGAGAAGTGTTGGACCAGCTCTACTTCTTGATACTTGACGCATCGCATGTAAGAGGCCACAAACACTAGAAAGAGAACACAATGTAAATAGTGAGAGCAGGCAATTGAGGCTAAAGATGTGAAATTTTCAACAAAAGTAAATTTTGGATGCTTCAAGTCTTCTGATAAATGTAAGAATTATTTACTTGTCTCTGTTTGATTGCCGCCTTCAGAAAGCTTCCAGTCCCCAGAGAAGTTCCAATGGCTCATGTCACCTCTCTATGAAAAAAAACCACCAAAAATGTTAATATATCTGAAAATTCAGTCCATGATTAACTGGAAACTACATGGATCTGCGGACAATTTCCTTGATTTATACTGTCCAAAAATATCTTTCGACCATTTTGAGATCCAATTACCTCATGATATAGTAAATTACAATCCCAGTTTACCATGCAAATGAGCCAACTGTTTTCTGTGTCCAAAGCCATAAAATTGTGAGTCTGTCCTCAAATTTGCCTTGAACAACTAAATCTGATGTTCCATTATACAAGATTTGTGTTAATCGGCTAAAGGAGTGTGCCCCCCTCCCCCACGTTCCTCTCCCGTTTGGGAAGATATTTTCCTATGTGATAAGTAAGACTCCTAATCATCTCTGACCTCTCCTGAAGGGTTGGAGAGAAGGTTGGATGACCAGCCAGCTATCTTCATCTGCTTCATGCTGAAGGAACGATCCAAGGCCACTAGCGTGTCTGCCAACTTGAAGAAATACAAGTAAAAAGTGTTAGCAAAAAAAATAAATAAATAAATAAATAAATAAATAAATAAATAAAAGATGAATGAACTCACACAGCTCCCTACAACTGACTCTGTTTTTTTCAAGGAACCAAATGAAATGATAGTCTGACAGAAGTTACAGACAGGTATATGGATTTTTCTACTGGAGTTTTACATTGTTCTGCTGGTTATTAGCTGTGATGTTCAATGGATCCGATCTCTGTTTACCCATTGTTACCTTTAGGCCAAAACAAAAAAGTCTCCGGTTTCTGGTATGCGCGCGTGTCGCCGTAGCCATGCGCGTCGGCAAAATGAAAAAGTTTTTTTTTCAATGAAAGATGATGTCTCAAAACCGCCAAACTCACTGGTTTGACTGGAATCCTGCTGCTGCACAATTTTAACGTGTTTTTAGATTGGGTTATGGTCGAGAATAAGCTTTATGTGGCCTCTCTGGACTCCCATATATTTGCACTAAGTTTAGTTGGGCACCATTTGCAGTCATCAGCCGACATTTGAAGCAAAAAAGTCAGGTAAAAAAAAAAAAAAGCCGCGTCGCCGCACCACTTTTTGGGCAAGCTCCATACCAGAAACCGGAGACTTTTTTTTTTGGCCTTACTACATTGTAATTACATCCTATTTATTCCCTGAGGAATGAATGGATCAAACCACAGAGTGCTCGGGCAGTTTTGGGGGTACAGGCAAAAAGGCAGGGCTGTTTGGGGCGATACAGTGACTACAATCAGTTTAAAATAAGTAGAATGAGTGTGGGAGATCATGTGGAGCAGAGATGCCACCAATATATCAATGAAAAGCCTGAAACACTACTAAAAAACCTGAAACTACCCATACCCCCTTTCAAAAATATTTTTTTCTGGATGTTTCAGCCCAAATTTTAACCTGAATTCAGGTTAAAACCTGAAAAGTGGCACTTCTTACAAAACAAATTTGTGTCTGCTTTGACTCGTGGTAGAGTCAACTAGCCTCCGTCACATAACTACACAGCGTTTCACCTCAGGAGAGCCCATTGGGTTCACCTTGGGAAAATGGAATGCTCAAGGGATCATCTCAAGAATGTAGTTCAACTATACCCCTCTAAAGCAGTCAATAGTTGTATATTTGATCAATCCATCATCTTTACCTTCTGTTTGACTTCTCTTTCCTGTTTCTTCTCGTCACGGCTTTGTATTGGCTCCTTGTATGTGTCATCATGAACCACGATGGCTGATAACAAACATTTGCTCTTATCTGCAATAGAATTGGTATGATTTTATTTATGTTTTTATTGTTGAACAAAGAAATTGACTGGTGGGGGGTCGAACACGTGACTGCCAGATTGCCGTTCCAGTGCTCTACCAACTGAGCTATCCAGTCCTATGTTGGTGGTTCTCCATTTTGTCAATGTCTGTTTTAAAAAAAAAATAAAGTAATTTTTTATTTACTATGATGGCTCTATTGATGTAATCAAGCGTGCAGGCTTCGATAAATTTAGACAGGTTTCTTGATTTCTTACACTTGGATTTGAAAACATTCCCAATCATAACAACAGTCAAATCCTCCTCAAAGTTTCTAACATATTCGGTTGATTCACATACTTACAATTATCAAAGTTGAGCTTGACTTTATTCCCGGAGCTTTCAAACGGGATGGACACCACCTTAGCTGTGTAGCCTGGGACGACCTCAGGAATCTGGTCCAACCGCCGAGTCACCTGTGGATAAGATAATGACAGGGTTGTCTACAACTGCCTTTACTAGGGCCGGTCTCAATTCATATCCGGGACGGGTTCCGGACAAGTTGCCGGTAGAATCATTTACTCTGTCCGGAAGAAGCTCTGCATTTGTCCCGGACATGGTCCGAGGAAATTTTCATCAGCAACTGCTTGACTCACCGATACTGATAACTTCACAGCGGGAAGATTGCGGGGAAGTTGTTCAGAATCCTGCCACTTATACCCGATACCAAGTCCGCAACTGGGCCAATAACTTTTATGATACATGATGAATGGTTGCCTGACAATTTCAGCAAAATTTGAAAATTGAATCGGTAATTTCAGACAGTAATGACTTGCCTCATCAGATATATCAGATTTTTTGTTGATCTCGATGCAGTGCTCTTTCATGTAGTTGCTCACACTGTGAAGTTGAAGCGTCAACTTTCCTGATTTTGTCACCGGAATCTACAAACACAAAAAAAAATGGCAGAAGAAAGCACATTTTATAACGGGTCTTGCCCTTTACCGATGTATTTTTATGAACACTGTATACTCAGTGTTGTCTGAGGGGTTGCAAAACAAATTCACAAGCTGACTCGGGTAGGACTCGAACCCACGACCTCCTGCTTACTAGTGCAGACGCCTTTAATATGTTTGTTAGACCTTATGGACATCGTAGATCTATGGCAATGGCTTTGTTCCTCTTCCCCTTAGAATAATTTGTTTTCATCAATGAATTCAAATTTCTACCAAAAACCTACAAACATTAACAAGACAGCTTAGTGCTATGCATAAGGTCAATATTGTCCTCACAATGACACTACTACAACAAAAAGAAAATAATTTGGTTCACTGGATAATGGTTTAAAAAAAAAATGGAACTAGCAATGGGAAAACCTTATCAATACTTGGTTGGTTCTTCTCCTAAAGACATCTCAGGGGAGTTTATGAGGAGGCCAGAAACACTGCGACAAACCCCTTCTCTTAGTGATAAGTGTTACTGGGTTCTTTTGCGTGCATTGCAAATACACAACACATGGGACCTACGGCTTTATGTCCCATCTGAAGGACGAAGCAATATTGGTTAAGTGCCTTGCTTATGGGCACAAGTTTCCAGACCCGGCTCGAACCCACATTCGCTGCCTCTGAAACATTAGAGCATGAGTCCGGTGCGGTGCTCTTAACCGTTAGGCCATGACACTCAATACCAAGAAATAAAAGTGTGCAATGTTAAACAATCTGGGCTGTCAATGAGGGAAACATAAGTTGAAATTCGGAGGAAAGTATACACAACGATGAAAAAAAAAACCTAATCAGTTTATTATTTAATTGAAAGTCTTTGAATCGCCACAGTATCATCACAGAAACGACGTGCCTTGTACGTCATCTTGTCTGCAAATTCAGGATGGCTTTCGTTGCATGTGCCATAGAGAAACCCATCGTTGGTGTTGGTCATCATGTTGTACAGATTGTCGTCGGGGCTGATTAGGCAGGCAAACTTTCTCAGACACTGCATGCCTGGCAGTAGAGAAGAACAACACGACATAATTAAACCAAACGGTGAGGTATAAAACCATCTGGCCACATTATAACTGTACACTCATACATGTAGTGGCCCAAGGTAACTGCAACAGGTCACTAAAATAATTGTCACATACTGGAGCAGTCACTATTTGTACAGGGGGGTCCCCAAAAAGTTTACACTTTTTCTGACACACATTTCTCAACATCGGGGAAAAATTTTGAAATTGTTTTAAGATATTCCTAAACTACAAGATCTTTGTGGAATATGGTGAAAACAGCATTGAAAATAAAGGCTAAATTAAGAAATGGCAGCCGTTTACAGAAAAGTGGTCAAAATTTGTATTGTCAACACGCAAATCTATGATATATGGTCAAAACAAAAGCACTACGTGCACAAAGAACTGCAATAACGATGACCATATCTCATACACAAGTGTGGATAAACTGGTATGTTACCATTTTTCTGTAAATGGCCGCCATTTCTTAATTCAATCTTTATTTTCGACGCCATTTTCATCATATACCACCAAAATCTTGAAGTTTAGGAACATTTTAAAACAATCTCAACATGTTTCCCCAATTTTTAGAAATGTGCATTTAAAAAAGCGCAAACTTTTTTGGAACACCCTGTACAATGGTCATTTTGTACAATGGTAATCACAATGCTTCCACCATAACTGGGGGCCCTAAGAGTGGACAGTGATCACATGCTCAGTTTGGTCTTGAGAAGGATTGTAAGGATCAAGACATTAGGCCATCTCATTTTGTTGAAGTTCTTGAAGTGAGATTCGCTGAGCTGCAAAAAGGGGACGAACCTGTGTTCACAGGAACGGAGTGCCCATCTCTCTTTCATTAGCGATTGGGCCAGACTCGAGTCCATGAAATGCTGCTGTGGGGGATCGCCACACCTCCTCCACAGCGAGTCTGTTACCTTCCCAACATTGAATAATGCCGGTACCCATTTAACACCTGGGTTGAGAGGAGTAATTGAGGTAAAGCGCCTTACTCAAGGGCTTGCACAACACGCGTGACCACGGCGGGGCTCCAACCAAAACAAATCAAAATACTTTTTTTATATATGACCTTCAGTTAGTAAAATCAAGAGTGTTAAGTGAGTAGGACCTCAACTTACCATCTTGCTCTGCTGCCTTGAACGTTATCTCCGTTCCGTAGAAAACCACTTTGTTGAGAGCCTCATACATGGGTCCTCCCAGGTTGACAGCAAACAGGAGCCCTGGTGGTTGGTTGACGATGCGATGGGGTGACCCCTCCAGCTCCACGCTGACTGGTTCATTATCTACAACCAAAGACAAATTTTAACAACGGTGATTCAAAATTGGTCATGAAATTTTCTTTACATTAATGTATGAAAATATGAAGTTAAAGTAATATAGTTAGTGACAATATGATTTAAAATAATAAGATTACCAGCCTTTTAATCCCTTTACAAAATAAATTCATCCGCACCAAATTTTAGCTCAATGTCAATCATTAGCGCTGCCGATAATTATTGCAGAACAACATTTGTAAATTACGTGCTGCCATACATTGTATTAACAAAATTGCTTTGTTGGCCATCTGAATAATACACGATCAGTGATTACTTACTAATATCTGTGGTCACTCCAAACACTTGCAGCAGCTTCAAGCCGAGGCTGTTCTCATCCTCGCTCAACTCCCTCTGGAATCCCAGTCGGCCGTCAGGCTGTTCCAACAGCTGGCTGGCTTTCACCAGTTCAATAGTCTGGCCGTTCAGCATAATCTTGACCGCTGACATTCTGGAAACCCATCCGGTGATGCTTGTGCCATTGACGTACACCGCTCCCCGGTACTTGTTCTCCCGGCCGGTAGCTAAACAGGAATCTTGAAAGCATCTCTTCTGCGGGCTTGGGGAATCTTCCGGAATGGTCGACATGAAACTGTAGCGGCAGGGAGCATCCGGACCAACGATAACAAGCTTCTTGTTGTCATCTGAGATCACCCAATCGTCACCTCCGTTAGACAACCCCGAACTTCCTGAGGCAAATGAACTCTTAATCCCCCAACTCTGGATGGTGACCATGTACAGAGCAGAAGACGTCATGTCGTTATCACCTAGACTACAAGAGCACATGACGAGTAGTGCATGGCCAACATACTTGGAAAAATCCTCGACAAGAATTGTAGGGGTTGATCCACGGAAAGCCTGAGTATGGACAACTTTCGCCTGATTACCAACATCGGCGTTGACATCCGAGCGCCAGATGCTATAGTGACTCTCTGATGGGCCAGTAATCTCAAGCTCTGCATCTGATCCAGGCTTTGTCTTTATCTCCTCATCTTCATCAGTAAACTCATACTCCTCTGCCTCATCCGAGGAACCTGGCTCGATTTCCGGTTCCCCACTGGAACCAAACTTCCAGACATCATCACAACCCTCACCGGCGATTGCCCGAACGACCATTTCGCTTGGCTTGTACCCGAAAGCAACAAAGTAAGCATTGCAGGGATGGGTGCCTTCCTTTCCAGAAGCACTACACAGAACCAACAAGGCTTTACCATACTTCTCATGACGGGTGACAGAGATGCCGGATTTGAAGACAGCTGTACTGGCACCGACCTCCGCCTTGGGTCCAGTAAAGACTTGAGCACTCCCGCCGTGACCCATCTCAGCTACATTTGAGATGATGGTAGCCCTGGAGAAACCAAAGCGTACACAGGGTGACAGGTTGCCCTCGGCATCAGTGTGCATGCGGATGTACCGGTAGACGGTGTGGTTACCTCCCTTAGCGAGGGGGGTGTAACCGCAATGGTTGCCATCGAAGCCGCAGCGGATTAGACAGAGCTCTGAGGTGAATGTGTGATAGTTGAGGTCGTAGAGACTTGTGATGAGCACCAGGGCCGTGCCGCCGCCGTGCTTGGTATTGACGCTGAAGTCGGTTTTGATGAAAGCTGGGATTGGGAACTGGCAGGAAGCTGTGCCTGTCATGCACGGAAAATCAGCTGTCGGGAAAAGCAAATAAAACAAATTACAATTCAGATCAGCACGCAAAAATCCCTGCAATTATAACTGTTTATTAAGGCATATAGGATCATTTGCTTTTCATGCATTTTGTTTGTTTCCAATAATGACACCACTCAAAATCCAAAGAAAAAAAATGTCAAAACCAAAACTGTTGAAGTTTCAGCTTAGTGGATATTACACTTTTTGAGAAAACAGTGAAAAAACATGCATGCACAACCTTTGCATCACAAAAAACGATTGTCCATAGCACTCTATATTTCCAAAAATCAGTCAACTGACTGATCTTTGGAAGTTACCTACGTTTCTTGATTTATTGTAAATGACAGCAAGTCAGGTGGAATAATTTCAAAAGGGTGTTTAGTACCATTATGATCTTTAAGCCAAGTAAGTTTTTTAATGTTAATTTGGTAGGTTACTTTTGGGATAAATGCAAATGATCCTATATGCCTTTAAAGATATAGTCCATCATTTGTAATTTGTGCATTTTGTTCGTTTGAAGCAACAAAAGTGTTCAAAATCTAATGAAGGATACTGAACAACTAACCTGATGAAGTTTCAGCTCAGCTTCAGCTGTATGTTCTGAGAAAAACAGCATTCTAGGATCTCAATTTCAAATCAAAAGTTGCTGAATCATGTTTTGAATTGTTTTGAATTGCAGCTATACGTGATGTCGCGCACTGATCCGACGAATTATAACAACCGCGCGTGCATGTGCGTCGTGCCATTGCTTGCGCGCGCTGCGCCGAATAACAAAACGAACTACTAATTTAAATACACACCGTTGGAAGGGCCTTCTTTCGTTGATTACTTCCAAATGAAAGATTAATTTCACAGGGAGTTTAGTCCACTTACTATCTTTCAACCAAGTATGTTTTTCAACAATAATACGCCAGTTACTTTTTCGGATGGCTGCAAATGATGGACTATAGCTTTAAATTGGGAGTAAAAGTAGCCTCTACAAGCTGAACTGCTCCAACGCTTAAAGAATCAACATCATAAATAAAATACATTTATAAGGGGATAGTAATTTAGCACACATTTTGTCTGCAGTAACAGCACAGAATATAAGTCACAATGACTGACTTACGCTGACTAACTATGACTTTAATGAAAATTGTGGAAAAAATAACTTATTGTGGTAAAGTTAAGGAAGGATTGGGAATAAATACCTATTGTTTTTAGTTCCTTTGGTGGAGGCAAGTGCAGATCCAGTTTCTTCAGTTCTTGAGGCACATCTAGAAATGAAAAAACACCAAAATAAGAACTGTACATAGTTATTGACTGACACAGGCAGATTTTAAGTCGGCCTCAGGTCGACCCACATTTTGCTTGCGCCACGACAGAACCGTTCATCAAGCACAAAATTTCTACTCAGGTCAAAAAACTGAGGGATCGTGTGATTGTCCCGGAACACGTCGCAGAAGTTGACATTTTTCTACTCTTGCGACTGTTGACTTTTTTTAGTGCTGGCTGATGCAGATCATTTTAACATCATCGCAGTTACACTCAGGTCACACAGTTAATACACTCGGTCAGTGACCGACTGATCTGTGTCGTCGCAAGGTCGACCTGAGGCCAGCTTAAAGATATAGTCCATCATTTGTAATTTGTGCATTTTGTTCGTTTGAAGCAACAAAAGTGTTCAAACTCTAATGAAGGATACTGAGCAACTAACCTGATGAAGTTTCAGCTAAGCTTCAGCTGTACATTCCGAGAAAAGCAGCATTCTAAGATCTCAATTTCAAATCAAAAGTTACTGAATCATGTTTTGAATTGTTTTGAATTGCAGCTATACGCGGCGTCGCGCACTGATCCGACGAATTATAACAACCGCGCGCGTGTGTGCGTCGTTCCAATACTTGTGCGCGCTGCGCTGAATAACAAAACGAACTACTAATTTAAATTTTCCTACGGTGCTTCTTAAGAATCACTGTTGGAAATGCCTTCTTTCGTTGATTACTTCAAAATGACAGCTTCCCAGAAAGAATAATTTCACAGGGAGTTTAGTTCCCTTACTATCTTTCAACCAAGTTTGTTTTTCAACAGTAATTACGCCAGTTACTTTTCGGATGGCTGCAAATGATGGACTATAGCTTTAAGGTACACATCAGACGGGTGTGAAAATATGTATCACTTTGACCAAGAAAAAAACTCACAAATGTTAATCAAAAATTTGTTTAAGGCCACGTAATAAAATAAACCAGTTTCTCGTACCAGCCCACTTCCTTTTTCCCACCCACCTCCCTTTTTTTTAAATTCATACATTTGCACTATTTTTCGCAAAATTTTGTCAATATATTGTCTTTTTATTTGTTTCCAACAAAATTGTAGCTATGTAAAAAGGGTGACAGCTTTTTTAGGAAAAATTATTGCATCAGCAAATGGGGTCGAGAAAATGGAATGGTCCATCCACCATCTTGGAAAATCCACCACCTTGGGAAAAAAAAAAAAATGAAAAATCAAGCCCGAACGAGAGACTTTTTCTTTAAAATCGGCTTAAAGGAATTGATCACAACGAAGATCCACACATTTTTGCCTCACTTTCCCTAGATCCAACCAAAGGAGTCACTTTTATCTTGCTTGAGTATCATTGGTTAAAACTTTCTTCCCTCATTTGCATAGGAATGGGAGCACCAATCCTAAGCAGTCTTCACTCCCAGGGACCCTCATTTGCATAAAGCTTCCTGGAACTGTGCTTGATGCTAATTAAGACTTGAGAGGAGTTTACTTTCAAATGGGTGACAGGAATGTACTTGGAAAGCAATAAAATATGCCATAAACTGTTTGGAGTGAAATGTGACAACGAATTCTTTAACTCAATTATCAAAAGCTTAAAAAAAAAGTTTTCTCAAACAAATGGCCATTCAAAGTGAGATTTTCCTCTTACATGACGTTTGCTTTTTCTGCAATTCTTAGGAAAACAATTTTCTTTGACCTGTGGATGTTTAAACCAAATATATTTTTTCTGTCATTCAGAATAAAAGGTAATTATTTTTTTTAATTTCGGCAAGAATGATAAATACACTAAAGACCCCTTATTTTCACATCGTAAATTTTGCACAGGCCAAAAGTTCACTTTCCAAATCCAAACAAATAAGGAGTCACTTTAATCTTGCTGGAGATTCATTGGTTAAAAGTTTCTTCCCTCATTTGCATAGGATTGGGAGCACCAATCCTGAGCAGTCTCCACTCCCAGGGACCCTCATTTGCATAAAGCTCCATGTAACTTTTGCAAAGGCCAAAAGTTACATATGCATGTATAACCCAACCATTTTACTGAGCTCCCTATCATGCCTATGTGAAGTATTTTATAAGCCCTTCATTTCCCACACCCATAGATCTGTATATCACACCTGGATAGACCTGGACGTGTTCCCAGGAAGTGACTGTATACTTATAATCATCAGGAAGCCAAAAGAGAAAAAAAAAACTCAGGCATGGTTCAGGGATACATTTCTATCACCAACATCCTCGTAATTCAATTTCCTGTATGCAAATCAAATCCAAACTTCTACATTCCAGACAGTACAACCCATGGTAAAACCCTACTCCCCAAAACTGTCTGTGGCGCAAACATGTACATTATACTAAGCACCAGTGCACGCAGGTCAGCCTCAAAGTTTATTTGTACAATTTCCAGTGACACCCACACTTTACCTGTTGGTAATTTTGGTCATGTTTTCTTAAGTCTTTGTCAGTTTTTATTCTTCCATGTAATCCACGGCTGCACTTTTATTCCTTCATGCTATGATCAGTACAATGCCGTCAAAAGTTGTATACAGGTTTTTTTTTGGGGGGGGGGGGGAGAGCGGTAAATGGGCAGGGTTGTTGCAAAACCAAGTTGAATTTTGGAGTGCGATTGAGCAAAATCACACACATTTAGTAGGGTGTAATTACTTAACAAAATAATTTAATGTTCAAACTTAATTGCGGCCTGACAATTATTCCGGCGGATCTTTTAGTGCATCTAAGGTGCAATAAAATCAACCCAAGTTTAAAGCTTTTTAAAAGGGTTGCAGACCCCCACAGTAGAAAATAATTTTTTGGGGGAAAAAATAAATCACACAAATCGAAAACTCGTGAGGGAAAAAAAACCCCTAATGCATTGAAGAGCAACAAATACTGCCAACGCAGATGCTGAAAGTGGAACAGATATTAATACATACCTTCAATCTCTTCATGAGTTCTACTGCTGCCTTTCGTGCCTGGGGCCTGCTTCTTGACCAAGTTGAATGCGGTGACAAATGCCATCTTCTGCCTGGGAGCAGCACCCTGCTCCTTGCTTGCAGACTTGGACGCCATCCTGCCGACTCACGTAGGCACCCAGGCTTGCCTGCACAAATAGTGAGAAAAAAAAACGAGACGGGTTCAGAAAATTTACGCCAGAGTGATTACAAGTGTGGATTTTCTCACATTATATCAAACAGAAATCAACCAGTGTTGCTGGGGACTCGCAGAGGAGAGGTATACTTGCGATGGATCACAAGTTCTGGTCTCAAGATGGTCTCAAGTAAATCACAAGACTATTCATGAATCCAGTCACAAGTACATGTATAAACAGCTAGTGGATGAACAATTACAAATGCATGCCTTTGCCAGCTTGTGTGATATGACTTTGGATTGGATGACTTGTGACCGACTGACTCAAACTAAAACACTGGAAAGCAACTACAGCAGAGCTTGTACAAAGAGAGGACCCTACTTGTATGCCCAGCACTTCCTATACCCACTCCCCGCAACATGTCCAGGGTAGCGTGACAATGTCACGGTAGGAAATCCAATTATAATGCCATTCACAAACAAACTTGGTTCAGGCCACAACTACAGAAAAATGTGTTTGTTGGGTAAACTACAAGATGCTGTGGCTATATCACTTTTAACAGAGTTATAAGAAGTTGAAGGAATGGTACTAACTTGCCCACAACAGTGTGGGGCAAAAAGAGACAAGGAGAGGTCACATGTGGTGCAATTTTTTGTTGTTGAACAAATCATTCCATTTTGAATTGTTCACTTGATTTTTTGTTAACTTCACTGCATTTTTTTTAGCTTAAGGAGCTGTGCAAGTTAATAATAATAATAATAATAATAATAATAACGATTACTGGTAATGGGGTAATAGGGAGACTTTCCCATAGACTTGTGCACAAAAATTTCCCGATTTAAATGTGCCCTAACCCAATATTCCCTTGTCCTTTTTCCCACGAATTTCGGTATTTTTACTAATTAGACCACGAGCAACAAATATAACCTAATTTCGACAGTAAAATTTTGCCTCTAAAGGGGGGCTGCGCCAATAGGGAGACACCTAGGTGTCTCCCTAATAAGCCCGTGTCTCCCTACTATCGAAATTTCTACGCTAACGTGTCTCCCTAATAGTACATTTGTAGGAATAATAATCGGCATATTTAAGAACGCTCTTATTAGCAAGCTAAATCACAGCACTTAGGCCTACAGTTTTATTATTATCCCTGATCATTGTGGGCCAATGAAACATTCCAAATACCATCTCAGCTCCCTGGGGAGTATACAGATCGATGCTACAGTTAAAATGCTACCTACATTTGAGACAATTTTTTAACTCCCAAGTACATTATGCGAGACACAAAAAGAGTCCGTTTTAATAACCTGTGTTTTTGAACTTATAATTGTTCTGCTTTTTCCTTTTGAAACTTTTGTGTTGATGTGGTTTTTGGTTTTGTTTCTGCTTGACAGACAACATCATTTTGATCAACCCACAGCCATTTCTACAGTAAACACAATTTTGAAGTTGCCGTACAATTCCAAAAGTGCACGAACTTTCATTATACAGGAATATTGCAAACAAATCCAGCCTGCCAGAATGTTTCAAGGTGATGACAAGGAAACCACAGAGGAATTTTGATCATTATCTGTGCAAGCGATGTTCGGAACAGACATGTACAACAGTATTCCTATGGTCACAGTTTGAAGCACATGATTTATAGTTGGCCTTGCGTGACCATATGTGACTATTAATTTCCTCTGTAGATCTTTCATCAAAGGCATGCATCAATTGTCGTTCATTGACCGCTCGACCATAAAGGGATGGCTGAATTAAAGGGACCAAATTGCATCCGCAGGGTGCAATGAACTCATTTAAGCATGGAGGAAGGAATAGACAAGTGACAATTTCTACGCCAGCTGATTAGCATAAAAAGAGACCCACAGTTTCCTTTGAAAACGGAGACCGTTTGGCTTTAAAAACGGTGGAATTGTGTAAATGTAGCCTGGTTTTTGGGCTTCCATCTGAGGGCAGGCTTGATAAAATTACGGTTGATAAATGGGTCCTATTTGCCTGAGAAAGTGGAAGGATGCCACTTGTAAAATGGTTACATACAGGCTTGGGAACTATCACTTTTCGGGAGGTGATTTTGTTTTGGTGTAAATATTTAAAAATGTAATCGTCTAGCCTACCCAAAATTGAAAAGAAATGAAAAGATGAAGTACAAGACAATAATTAAATATTTGTTTAAGAAACCCCAGTGATGTCGGCTTGCGTGTTACTTGGCCCTGAACTTTGTTGATTCTACACTGTTTTCAATGGAGCTTGAATTAGTTCAGTGCACCCCGCAGTTCTGCAACCAATTTCAATGGCTCTGCCAACCACATAATTACACACGTTCAACCATTCTGTTCTAAGCCAGAGCACTAGCCCATAAAAAAATGAGGGATTTCTGAATGCCTTGCGTGGGTATATGCACAAAATATTGAAACTTTTGCCTTCACGTTCAAACAGTGCTTTAAAGGTGCTGTGCAAAATCTCCCGAGTGGGAACTAGCAATGTATTGGATCTTATAGTGTTCTGGATAGAAATTCTAATTAAACTTTAAACAAGGCCAGCCCAGCAGTCAAAATACATCAAGTGGCTGTTTTTAACAGTTGAGTGCTCCCTGCCTTCATAAGGCAGGATTGACTGGCTGTGATTGTTTTGAAACCTGATTGTGATCTATGCTTTGACTGCTGGAGATTGATAAGCCAGCTGTGCCTACCACCAGTCACCTGCTTTTGTATGTTGATGGAATTTGACTGTCAAAGTGTCTACAAGAAATGACCCGACTTTTTGGGGACTAGCCTATGTAAAAGGCATGGCAGGGGAACAGGATTGAAATTTTTTACTGTCTGTGACTGCACTAGGCACTAGGGTTCAACGTCTTCTTATCTGGATCGACCTGCATGACAAGTCTCATAAAATACCAACACTTTTAAGAAGTGCCCTTTTTTCGGAACAAGTGCCCTTTTTAAAAAGAAGTGGTGCCCTTTTTGTGGCATCTGACGTTTTTGGGTGCCTTTTACTGAATTTTGCACATGTACGCCCTGAAAAGCACCATTGGCCGTTTGTGTGCCTAATCGTTGGTTCCCTCTCCCCCCCCCCCCCCCCCCCACTTTTTGATGTGTCCGGAGAAAAAAACCTGTCTACATTTCACCATGGATGTGCTAGTGCCCTTTTCAAAAATTTTTACCCCCCCCCAATAAAAATGACCGTGCTATGCCACTGTGGAGGCCTCTCTATAGGCTCCAACTTACTTACATCAATGTGATTTTCCATCGTCGAAAACGTTGTCTAGGCCTAGCCTACAGGGAAAGTTGTAGTTGTGATGTCAAAGTTGATTCCATGGTGTTGTCAAAGTGGTCTCTGATCTGTGTTATTGGCTGGACGTGGAAACTCATCCCGTTCAGGCCTAATTACAAAAAATGTCAAAAGTCAGGGGTCAGCCAGATGACCAAGGTCAACATACATGTAGTTTAGGCCCCCCCAAAAAAGTCTCCGGTTTCTGGTATGGAGCTTGCCCCAAAAGTGGTGCGGCGACGCGGCTTTTTTTTTTTTTTTACCTGTTTTTTTTTGGGGGGGGGCTTCAAATGTCGGCTGATGACTGCAAATGGTGCCCGACTAAACTTAGTGCAAATATATGGGAGTCCAGAGAGGCCACATAAAGCTTATTCTCGATCATAACCCCATCTAAAAACACGTTAAAATTGTGCAGCAGCAGAATTCCAGTCAAACCAGTGAGTTTGGCGGTTTTGAGACATCATCTTGTATTGAAAAAAAAACTTTTTCATTTTGCCGACGCGCATGGCTGCGGCGACGTGCGCGCATACCAGAAACCGGAGACTTTTTTTTTTTGGCCTTAGGCTGTTTATCTGAGATGTAATAATAATGGCACAAATACTTTGTTTATACACATGTGGTTTTTCCATGTCAGTGGGAGTGACCAATATGTACACCCCCACCCTCCATCCCCCCACAATGGTTACCTCAGGTGAAATATGTCTAAACCCAAGTGGAAGGAGTGCACAAAGTTTGACAATTCAAATTACGAGTGGCAAATTAACAGACAGATTTCACCTTCCCAAACAAAAATTGGAAAGTCCTAATTTTTGTGAAAAAGTGGAATGCTTGGGTAAAAGAACCCCCCATGCCGAGTATTACTATTAGGCCGAAATATTTCCAATTCCATGGGGAAAAAAACATCAGTTTACCAACTTTTTGTCCTCACATTTTTATGGCTCAAAGTTTAGGCTAAGCCTTTCCCACCTAGCCTTGCGCTAACAGTTAGCATAGTACCCCAGGTTGGACTCCGTTGTGTACACGACGTATAATGATGAAGAAGTTGTCCAACCTAGGCTAATTCTGTACTGATGACGTCACACTTTGTTTACATGATCACTTTCCTATGGAGCCAGTGGGGGCCCACGGTCCACTGAGCACCCATAGGAAAGCACACACGTAAACAAAGTGTGACGTCATCACATCAGTACTACATGTAGGCCTACTAAAAAGTACTAGGCTTATTAATTTAGCAAAGTCATGACAGTCAGCACAGAGTCTAGGCCTAGCCTACCTGCAATCTGGCAGTGGCAGACCATTACTAAAACAAACAGTCCACGTGTAGATGCTTAGAGAGGGACTATTAATGAACACTCCACATCCACCCCAACCCCCACCCTCTGCCCGGCTGCGGCACAGGCCTCAGCACGCTTGATGAAACAGGGCCGAAAGAATCATTTTTAATTATTTTAGAAAAGCCGCCACACTGCACTGAGCCGACAGGTGTTGTGCCAAAAACCGTCCGGTGCCAAAAAGTGTCCGCTAATTAGCATAATGCGATCTGATTGGTCATGCGTCTATGACGTCACAGACGCTTGCCAAATAGTGTCCGCGCTCAGCCTTGTCGAGCTGTCAATACATCGTATAGAAAAGATATCTTTTCACCTGAAGTTGCTATTTACAATCTGTTTTAACGTTTTCCTTGTTATCTGTGAGACTGTGATAACTATTTGACTTGGTTTCCCTAATAGTTTAAACATTATATTTGTGCAAAATGTTTGTGGTTTTTTTCGCGTCAGTTCACCTGTTTGGCGTGCAGTACGTACATGTACGTACGCGTAGGCCTAACGCTGTGTGAAGTGTGTGTATAAAGTGTTACGCCCCAACTATCACATCGGTCCCAACTATAGTTGGGACTGTCCCAACTATAGTGCGGCAGTTGGGTCGGCCCAACTATAGTTAGGACTGGAGTTGCGCCTGATGCTTCATGCTTGATAGATCTTGTTGGATTAAATGTTCCGCGGCACTGGCACCGTGTATTCGTCGTGCATGCATGCCGCAAGGCTGGCCGGTCACGTGGTACTGCCTAGTTGGATGAGTTGTCCAGCTGCTGGGTTTTTTTGTCTAGCAGCATTTTGCAAAATTCAAAGATTGCCATGGCCGG